CGGGGGAGCTGCCGAGGGCACCTGGGTGGGCAGCGCCGTGCCAGTCCCGGGGACTCACAGGCCGCTCTAGGGTTGCTGCTGAGAATGAAGTGTCACGGTTTGCTTAGAAATGGAGGTTCATGAGGTACGTGTGGTGCCGGGCTGTCCTGGGAGGGGAATTTCCATCAACCCCGTCCCTGTGAGCTGCTCAGACCCTCCTGCCCCGCTCGCCTGATATCCAGTGCTCCTTTGGTACTTCATAGAGCCTTGTCCGACTCTGTCACCTCGGCCCCCCTTCTTCCTGAAATAACTTTCCTGATAGTTTACTTTTACGTGCTGAAAAGAGTTCTGAAGAACTGTAGTTGCAGTATATATGGTATATGCAGATAATATCCTTTTTTTAATTGTATGTGTAATACAATAACTTTTCTCTTTTAAAATTTTTTTCTAATCTTTATGCTTGCAATAAAAAAACCCAAACCTTTTTTTGTTTTTCTTTTTGCATCCTCCTTATTGAAGTGTATTTCTCAGTATATGAACAAGTGTAAGGTTGAATGATTGCATATATCAGAGACTTAACTCTGAACTTTCTGGAACTGCCTGCGCTTTCTATATCCCGTACAAGTTCATCCTGTTTCCTGCTCAGGTGAATAAGGATGGAGATCTTAAATGTCTTGCTAAAACTTACCACAACACTGTAACCACAAGACAAATTCTAAAATGTTCCTTCAGAAGTAAGATACTTGCTGCTTGTGTGTCATAATAATCTTTAAATATTGGAATAGATTTCTGTTTTGTAAAGCCCAGTGACAGTGGCCTGGCTCAAACTGGTCTTGATAAGTCTCCCACCTTAAGTTCAGCATTGAGCTCTAGTCTTAAAACCTTCAAAATACATTACTGTTTGTTTGTCCCAAATTTGCACTCAACTTTTGTTTGCATTTATGAAGAGCTCCCACGGTCAGCTCACGATGTTGATTGACGCACACAAGACAAGACACATCTAAACGTTACTGGTTTTCATCTGAAATCAGGAACTATGTTTTTGGAGTTCACCAATCTATCAAATTGTGTCCTTCAGATCTAAGACTACTTTTCTAGCAATTTGGAATAGAATGAGCGAGTTTCTTAATGTAATTATAATTTTCAACGTTTACCAGAAAAAAAGCCATCGCCTTACAGTGTATATATAATTGCTCAAAGGATTTCTGCTTTAGTTCTAGAGTTTGGAGAGATTATAAAAACATATTGTTCCCATTGTTGATCATAACTCTACTAAAGATGCAAAATTAAGGTTCTTGAGTAAATTAAGAGATCCCTTCTGTGTTCTTAACCCTGGTATGGAGTGGAAGCCCTGGTAATGAATCTGCATTCTCATATGTGTTCAGATTTGTGAATATTTTGAGTGTATGAGAAGAATAGTAAATAATGAAAAGCTAAAGTACCAAACTAAAAGAGTGAAATATTAAAAATTGCATAACTTCTGTGATTTTGGAGGGTAATGAATTTTTTACTGCCATGAGAAAAATAGTATTTATGTAGGTGATGCAGTGGTGTAGAAAATGAAAGGACACACAGAGGTTTATAAAATTAATGTCAGTGTTAGGCTATTTAACTATTCTAGCTACTAAGGAAACTAGAAGGTGAAAATAGGAGTAGGAGGAGTAGGTATTCTAGCTGCTAAGGAAGCTAGTGAAGACGTTACCTCTTTAAAAGAGCTGATGATAACTTAAATAAATAAGACTTCATCTTTTAATCGTTCCCATGGAAGAGTAAAAACTACTGCCAAATTTTTCTCCTGGAGGTTTTGTCATTTTTGATGAGGGTAGAATGTCATCCAGCGTGCCCTGGCACCCCTTATGCCGAGGGTCTCACTGGCACAGCGTGCAGGCCAAGGCAATCGTTCCTGTGCTGTCTGCCGTGGCCCGTGGCACGTTGTGGTTGCTGGATGTGTGTGTTGGGTAATCCCAGGCTGCTCTCCATGGAGGAGTGGTGGTTGGCAGGAGGGTGTCGCAGACAGAGGAGGTCGTGCACGCCCGGGCACGCTGATAGAAGAACTCACCTGAAACTGGCAGCACAGCAGCACGGGCGCTTTGGGCTGAACTGTCTGTGCCAGTGAGAGCTGGGCGTGCGATGCCCGTCAAATGCCATCTTCCTGCTTAGGAATGAGCTTGTGGTATTAGAGCTTTGATGGTGGGGGAGGCACTTCGTTGAGCTAAATTCTCCCTCTGAAATATTGCGGTATTTGGTGGTGGTGTGGATTTCTATTAAAGGATGTGTTTTGCCTGCCTGTAGAGAGTACTCCTGTAACTAACTTCAGTATTTTCAGAATTCTGCATTTTAGGAATTATTTTGTCTTTTCTTTGCATAGCTTTTTACTAAGAACATGCCTAAATGGTGACCAACACTGTTGATTGACTTTTTTTCTTAATCTGTATTAAATTACTCAGTATGGAAGATAATTCAAAGGAAAACTTGCATCGGTCTTCTCTTCTGGGAAGTGACTCCTGAGGGAATAGCTTAGCCTTGTCTTTAGCTCTTTTTTCTTTTATTATTACCAGTGCTGAGTGTACCTATGGATATTCAATTGTCATGTTGTAATAACTAGAATGTTGGTGTTAATGATCTTTTTAACTGCATAGTAGTAATTTTATTCTTTTCTGCATGTGTAGACTTTTTCTGGTTTTATAATTTGTGCATCTGTTAATTTTAGTAATTAGTCTGAGTAATACTAGATTTAAACTTGTTTTTATTTCAAACTCATTTAACTGTTTCTCTGTGGTAAGCTTAATGAAAATGGAACCTGACACTAAATTTTAGTCATCAGTGCTCCATTTAATGTTTAGGGTCAATTACTTCATCAATATTTCTATGGGAAAAGTAAATTCACTTATTGAAAAAACTACTTTTCCTTAACCCAAGTTAAACATTTTCTTGCACGGGCAAGTTTAGAGCACGATGGATGTGTACTGCCGAAATACTAGGTCTGGCTTCACTGCTGTCATGGAATTTATGTCCATAGTTCTGAAGAAAACTAGGTTATCATATGACTTTGAAATGGGGGGCATATCTTGAGGATTTCAATGGCAACACAGTATGAGGATTAAAGCTGTTATGATGCTGCTCTTTTATTCTACCCCTTTTTGGTTGCAGCATTGAAGTCACTCCTTCCTCCCCCCACCAAGGCCTCTCATATCCCTACTTTCCTGCTTTTTGAATATGGTACTATGGTCGAGTCACCCACTAAGCAAACTGGAATGGATTAATTGGATGATTCTCTGCCAAAGCAGATATTATGCAATATTATCAATCCTCAGAGCAGTTGTGGTGTTTTGGAAGTTCTTTTCTTTGGAAAATGATACTCGGTGGTTTTTATTTGTCTAAAAGCCTGTAGGATTTAGGTTTGGAGGGCTGATGGAAGTGCTTGCTCGAGGAATTCGAGGTGGGCATTAGTCATGTTCATTTAAATGAGTTCATTATTGATAAGCTTTTGCGGGGTCAACTTTTAAATTAGCGCAGACATTAAAATGGTTGTACATTTATAGCTAGAGGGAACATGGTGAGTTCTCTAATAAATATTTATCTCAAAAACCAGGCATCTGTTTGAGAGCAACAGAGCTAGGAGTTGATGGCAGAGCTTTGGTCTTTAGGCAGTTGTCAGAGAGGGAGATTCATGGGCCAAACATTCAGCAGTGTTGAATTTATGGCAGAAACCCCTGTAAGTGCAAAGATTTGCAACGTGGCTGTGCATATTTATAAGTGGTGTGGATGAGGATGCAGGGTTGTCCTTATCTTTGGATTTCTTCAGTTGAGTGAACTATATTCAGCCTTAAGTTCTTCAGCTTGTCTCTGATACTCCAGAAGGCCTGTATAAACTGCTGGTGAAGTTGTAAAATAAAGGATATGGCTCTTTAAAAGGTGGTTGTATTCACAAGTTTGTCTGCCAGTAATTCTCATTTTTTTCTAAAAAGGAGTTATTCTTTATAAAAGCAGTCACAGTAAATTTTCTAGTTCTATGCAATTTTCTTTCCATTCTGGTTTTCAGTGGTTATAAATAACACATGAAATGACTTTCAAGGTAGAAAGCAGGAATCCATTTTGAAATATTCTATAAAATAAAGAGTGATTTATGGTTTCGTATGATTTTGGCTGAAAGCACTCGGGCTTTGCCAGGTCATCAAAGTCCTGTCAGGAGAATCTATTATTTATTGTTCGATATGCTGGGAGTGGTGTAAGTACTTTATGTTTATCTTATGTAAGTATAGTGTTAGGAAAAATCACTTCCAGATATTAATGCTATTTTTAAAATATACCCTGAAAGACTAACCTGAATATTATAGATTTGAATTATGAAGTTAACTTTGAAGATTGATTTAAAAAAAAAAAAAAAAGAAAAATGAATAATTCCTAATGTTTTTATTGTTGCAGGATATTTTTAGGATGTGCCTAAAATGTTTTCTAATGCATCTTATGGGCTGATATTTTGGTTACAGTATCTTATATAAGTACATAATCTTAAATTTACATCAGCAGCTGTTACAACAGAAGCTAGATGGAAAACCAGCTGAAGGTGGATATTTTTTTATGTTAATGGTCATTGTGGACTAACACAGTGGCCCTGCCTTGTAGTGTTGATGTCTGGAAGGAGGAAATAGACCCACATTATTATTATTATCATTTGTAAGTGAGTCCTTACCTGTCCTTGTAAATGTCAAACAAAATGAACACTGACTTACAGTTTTCTCTTGACTTCCCCCCCTTTTTTTGTATTCTCCAAGTGTTAACATGCCTTTACTGTACTGACTTTTTTTTTCAGTTGATTAAAACTGAAGAGTTGTTTTCTGGCATGCCTTCTATTCTGAATTTTTTTTAGAAAAAGTCTTAGCAAGATACTTTCAAATTCTAGTCTGAATGAAGAGTAATCAAGAAGACTCATTTGTCTGTCCCCAGTAGAAAATGTCATTCCACTGTTTGGAGAATGGTCATAAGCTGGTAATTCAGTCCTGCTACAAGAACCCATCTTTCTGTAAGTCAGTGGGGCACTGAGGTTGCTCTAGAGCCTTCCAAAGTGTTTTGTAAGAGCCTTTGTTGGTACATAGATGACTGTATGGAATTACTAACGTAGGAGAAGAAACTTACTGCTTTCTAAATCTCCTTTTATGAAGTATTTAAAAATGCATAAGGAGCAAGGTGAGCAAGCTATCTCCCATGGTGGGGGCAGTAAAGGAAGTGAAAGTATTGGGTAAAAATAAATCCTAATGTGTATCTTATTACACAGATCTTTCAATATATGTGCTTTGCATTTTCTTTATCTGCCGCTGTTGGTTGTAAACCAAGATTAGACTCGTAGCTGTACCGTGTGCAAGAGAAGTCGACTTACAAACCCTCTTTATTCAGTACAGTTTTGGTTTTTTCTTTAAGACATGAAGAATCTTCTGGATTTTACCTGTCGTCTTCCTTAATAGATTATTTAAAGGGATGTACTTGTGTAGATAATATTTGCTTGTATAAAAGTACTCAAATTTGATATTTCTTTGAAGATTACCATTCTGCTGGAAGGTAGCCCTCTAATAGGGAAAAGTAGAGCTGCTGTTGCTTTCCAGTTAACAGGATTCTTCATGCTGAAGTAATCTACTTTCACCTGTAGTCAAAAAATGACCAGCCAATTTGGGTACTAGCTTTTTAATGTTACCTTGATTCAGTGTCTCTGACCTTCCATGACCAGAATGTTTAGGTACAGGAGAACTTTGCCACACAATGTGACCCATCCAGTGATACAATTTTTATATAAATGTTTAACAGGCTAAAGTTGTATTCATACTGTTGTGTAGATCTCACGTATTTTCATTTTCCTGGGCTGTTATGACTTGGAGCCAAATTCAGAAAGTGCATTATCTTACTGTTGGTGTTTGGTTTGGGGGGTTTTGTTTGTTTGTTTGGGTCTTTCTTTCCCCTCTTCAGAGAAGACTGTTTGGTTTGCATGATTTTTAGTAACAAGTTACATTTTTATTTGGAGCATAGGTGTCTGCTTGTGTTCCTTTTCTAAAGAACATTTATTTGTACCAGCTGTGAGGTTTGCTGTTTTTCATTGCCATGTTCCTCTGGTGGTTCACAGATAACTAGAAGTGAGTTACTAGTGTAGGAGAAGAAAATTTACTTGTGGCTTCTTCCTTGACCAATTATGATTTCTTACTTGTCTTACATGTCTGTGCCACTACCATGTTCTGTAAAGCAGAAATATTTTTCTGATATTACTATGCAATACAAGCATATAATAAAATGAATCAAACCTATTACCAATTTTAATTAGCTAACTCTAACTGAAAGTATTATATGCAATAAGTATTTCAAATCTGTTTGCAATTAAATTATAAAATGCCTTTTAAGTTCTACATATACCAAAAACATACCGTGAAGATTGTGTAGTGAGCTTCTCCAGATTCAGCTGCTCCTCTCTTCTTAGAGGTTGGGATACAGAGAAAATTTATTGCAGTTGGTCAACTGTCTGGCTCCAGAAGATTGTTTTGAAATTGTCTGTGTTCCAGCATTTTTAATATATTTCCCTTCAACATTTTATATTATGAAAAAGCCACTTTTGATTTATTTAGTAGATACAGTGAAGCAAATTAAACATTTAAACCTTTTCAAGATGAAGCTTGTGTAATTCAGTAGAAGCTTATCAGCTGGATGACTGGGAAACAGTTTACAGTGAACAACTTGGGCACCAAGATGCCTCCACAGATATGAAGGTGTTTAGTTTATGAATTGCTTGGGGCAGTGAATGTATCCATTTAAAGTCAAGAGCAGTGCGTCACTATAGCGTTGTGTACAGCGCTAATCAGAGGAGACACAATGTGCAAGCCTGAAATTAATTTTTTATTACACAGAGGTGAATTATAACTTTTCATTATTTTTGTAAAGCTTTTAAAATCAGTTGACTTTTAAAGCTGAAGAATTTTCTAGCTTAGCAGTTATCTCTAATTTTAATTTTGCTGTGTTGAAACTAAAGGTAGAATTGGTGTCTTGGTATCTGTGTATAATGTGTAGCTAATTCCTCTTAATTCTTGCTTATTTACTTGTAAACCAGATTATTCATGAAAATGAAAGCATGGCTGATTTTTCACAGGGTGGGTCTAAAAATTCATATAATGGGTATTATCTTGGTCAGAGGTTGCTGGAAACAACCAGATGTAGACTTCAAGGTCAGCTTGTAAGATTCACGGAGATTAATCTGCCTCTTATGTATCCGAGAGGGCTATAACAGAGAGAGTGCTTCGACAGCTGGCGGTGAAAACTAGTGCTATCAAAAGTGGACTGCGTTCTTCATCATCATATTGTCGTGAACCCGGTGTTCATGCTATCTGCTTGCTGGGGTACTTCGTTCTGGCACTGCAGCTGTTTCTGATGTAACCCTGGAATCTCTTGCAGCAGTTTCCAATGCGTTATACAGATAGCAGGAGAAACAGAGAAGTTGGTAGGAGTAACTTCAGTTTCTACATGCTGAAGTGAGCCATGCCACCATGTTTGTTGGTCTAATTAGAACCAGCTTCTTACAATTTAATCTGCTTGCCTTTTTTCTTTCTTTTTTTTTTTTCCTCTTCTTTTTTCTTCACTATCTTTCCACCAGGATGCAAGAAGTCCAAACAGAGAAGGGCACGTATATAGTCAGCATTCTTCCTGGACCAGTACTAGAAAGACTTAGAAGTTGGTTCACTTGGATTTTGCACTTGTATTTCAATGAGGCAGTGTCACGGATTCATGTGACTGCTTTGCTTTCTGGTTAGGTTTCAAGAAGTACCTATGAAATTCTACCTGTTAGAACATGTTAATGACCCAGAGATCACTATTGAATAAAATCCCTGATTTGATACTTATTTTTATATCTGTCTGCAGATATAATGTCCTACTTCATTGAAATTTTAAATTCATGTTTCCTTGAGAAGTCCAGAGAGGCTAATTTACCTAATATGAGATCTGATAAATGGAGGTTTAAATGGAGAAAGAAGGCAGTGGCTCTAAGGAACGATGATACAGATTTCAACTGGTACTAATCAGTCCTCCTTTGGGAAGGAAAACTCTTTATCTTTGTTTTTCCTGGTAAGAGAAATGAGGGACAGGACAGTTTAGCATCATGCAAATATTTTATGTGTAAGCATTCTGAAACAGGTTATGAGAGGACCAGAAAGCACAGAAAGTGTTTATACTTCTTGTTAACAAGCCCTGCTATTTCTGAATTGATTCTGTCTCAAATGCAAAGAACTTCTGAGTCAGCACATTAAATTGATACGAGAATTGTATGGACTCGTTATTCCTCTACATAAATCCCTTTTATGCTGCCAGATGTTTATGTGTAGCATACTGAAGTCTGGATCTGTTGCTGTTTTCTTGTGGCTGGATCATGCAATTCCTATTCAGACTTCTGATTTCCTGCTAATACCATTGGAAAACTAAAAATTGTCTGGACTTGGAACATTATTTGAGAATAATGTGGAATAAGACACATACAGCATATCCCACTTGAAATGTAGATGTATTTTTGGCAGAAGAAAGAATGAGTGACATTAAATATGACTAATAAGCCCAACTAACTTCTCAGTGGAGATAATCTAAATCAATAATTATGTGTTGTAGAGGCCTATGAAATGCCTCAGATAAAGTCTTTAGAGCTGAATTGAAGTAAGAACTCGAAACACAGACCATTGTGAACAGACAAGGAGGAAGCAGGAATTGTGCAGCACACACTTCACAACTGTCACAAGATCCTGGATGTGCGCAGCCTTATTGTGTGAAAGCAACTCCACATTTAGCTGTCCTCCAAAAGTGTTTATATACACACTTCATTTCTCTCCCTCTATAAACTATCTGTAGCAGAATCTACAACTACTGTTTTGTTTGTTGTTCCTGAAAAAGATTTTCTTTTCCTCATTTGGGCACAGAGAATATAACTCTGTAAAGGGAATTGAGAAAATTGTTTCTCCTTCCTTGTTGATAAAAGCCACTGAGAAAGTGGTGTAAAACATCACCAGCACTGCCTGGCTGGCCAGGACTGGAGTTATAGCTACTAGGGCATAACTGATTGCTTTAAGCTTGATCCAATTGATGCTGTGTTGGAGGTCTGTTCTTCCATTAACCTTGGATGAAATTGTTCCCTGAATTAGCTTCCTTGCTCTTGAAAGCTGGCATCAATTTTCTTCACCAACCCTTTGCTTCCAAGATACTGTGGCCCCCGGAGTACCCACTGGCAACAGAATGAGAAAGTGTAAGGAAGGGAAGGCCCATGCATTTCAGCTTTTGGAGAGGCTCTCAGAACAACTTGATGGAGTAAGACACCATTTATTCTGTGACAAAACCTCGGTAAACTGAAGAAATAAGACTGCTCCTTGGCACCAGTTTCTGAATTTTCTTCTCCACCAGAAATCAAACCACATGGAGAAGGTAGCTTTGCCAAATACAAGTTACTCCTTCCTACATGTGATCTGGACTGTGTGATGGTTACTTTACTAAAGCCTTTTCCAAGAAAGGTGGCTCTGGTAAACAGACCATTATAATATAATTATAGATAGTCCTTCTCTATCTAAGAAAAGAAAAAAAAACCCTAACTTGCACAAGTCTCCTTAGAGAAATGGTACAGATTTATTTAACAATGGCACATGAAGCTGAACTGTCTCCTACATGATGCTCACATAGTTGTGCAAAATAGGTCCCCTTCAGGTTATTATATATATATATTATTTTTTAAAATTGTTCCTATTTGGAAACAGCTTCGTAGTCTGAACTTTGATTTGTCAAAAACTCTAAACTGGATTATATTCACATTTTGAAATGTGTTCAGACCCTAGCTACAGGGCAGAGCAGACTCCAAAACTTCTCACTGAGAGTTTGGTTTGAAGATAGTGTATTACAGAATTCAGGTGACTGCAGGGGAAAGGCTGTATCCCTCATATTGATTCTCAAGTCTCACTTACACCTAATGAGTAAATAAAGCTGGGTATCTCTAAGCCGTTTTACTCGTGAAGGATTATTCTAACACTTCCTGCCACTCATCCCTCTTGAGGAACAGTCAGCTTTTCTTTTGCCAGCTTAAGGGATGAAGGACTTAGCAGTATAACCTATATTGCATTTCAGGATCTAGAATTAATAAAGACTAGCTCAACCATTTAAAATAATTTGTTCCTGTCTCCAAGAGTGCTAAATTGTACTAAATATCCCATTAAAGTCTTAACGGCTTCTTACTCTAGGCAAGTGAAAGCTTGGTGTTTTAAATGAGTCACCAGGCTGGCAGCGTACTGACCTTTTATTCATTTGTGAAGGCAGTGTTCCCTCTGAAGAAATAGGCAACTGCAGGCCTCAAGTTCTCCTGAAGATGCTGTTTGGTGTGAAGCTATGCAAAGAAGTTTGTGCCCTGCCACCCCTGCCCCCTGTGCTACCAGTTCTGTCTCTCCCCCGTTGTACTCGTACAGCTGCTTCTGGCGTGCGCTGTAAATCAGATCAGGGAAGCACTCCTTTCACTTTGTTTAATCTCATCCCTTAATTGGATACGTAGCCTAAGTGTCTCCTAATATCAGTCCCTTAGAATTTTAATCACTTTTACTGAATTAACCTGCTTGAACAGCCAATAGGTTGTTTAAAAAGAGATTTCAGCAAAGCTAGTGCCGTACAGCCTGTGAGATAGCAGGCTGTACTGAGTCTAGTCAGAAATCCAAGTCATCTAACTGTGCAGGTAACAACAGAAGTTAGAGAACAGCCTCGTTTGTTTATGAAACCTCCAACTGGTCCCTTGTGCTATACCAGGCAGGTATTGCTGGGTTTTTTTTACTACATATCTTTTCTAAGTATAATGAAAACATACTGATTTGACAGAGAATAATTGCATGATGTGGGAGATTCTGATAGGGATACCACTTCAAGGACAGCCATCTCAGATTCAATCTGTCCCTTAGAAGTGAAGTGAAAGTACAACTGCACTGTGAGTTTAGCTTTTATATTTACACTCAGATCTTGGTTTGCATGCAGAATATGGAGGAGACAGGACCATGCAGGACTCTGTCTGCTGTACACAATTGTTTGATGCCATCCCAACAGGTTTATACCCTCACACTTAGAATCATAGAATGGTTTGGATTGGAAGGGATCTTAAAGATCATCCAGTTCCAACCCCCCTGCCATCAGCAGGGACACCTTCCACTGGACCAGGTTGCTCAAAGCCTCACTTCTCAATGTATCCTTGAACAATATACCAGGGCATGCAGCATTTACTGTAAATTTCTTAATTTTAAACCACCATTTTAACAGGTTGTTACACAGTCTTCACGTTATGTCAGACTTTGGAGTGAACAAAAATGCTCTCAGATAATACCTTTCTGTATCAAGAGGGATACAGTTACAGAGCATCCCATTCAAATTTGGGTATCACTGTGCTGGCAAATACTCAATCTGATTATGTTACCAAGGTGTCTAGAGAAGACACTGGTGACAAGCTTTGACTCAGAGGTAGTAGTGTTTGCAAGTTATATGCCATGCAGCTATTAAATAAAAAAATACTGCGTTCAAGAAGGTCATAGGAAGATGTTAGTGAACTCAAAAGAGTGTTCGTTATTTTAGGAGTGTTGAGAGCATTAAAAATTTCAGTGATTCACATTGTTGACTTTCTTTTTGTTTGAATTGCCTGTTACCAAATTCTAACTTTATTTCATTTTTTGATATATCTTAGCATACTAAGTTCTAAAAATTGCATGTCTCTTTTTCAGGTCTGCCTGAATCTATTATTGCAGCAGCGTGTGCCAGAAGTGGCCAGAGTGTTCTTCATGTTGATTCGTAAGTTACACCAGTAATTTTCCTTTTTAAGAGTTAAACTGGCTAGAATTATATCTGTGTCTATGTCAGCGTGCCCTTGAGGACTGGTGTTTTGTGTTCATCTGGCATCAAGTAATCTTACACTTCTGTCTCTTATTTTTGGGGAGTTACTTCCATCAATAGACAGGCAGTTTTTGCATGCCAGCTCAGTAATTTGGAACGTAAGCAATGTGGTCGAGGATGCTGTTGATGGGTCCTTCTTTCATACAGACAAGAATGGTTACACATTAGTGCCCTTCGTTATCATTCCTGGCAATAATTACCCCATTCTGGTTTTGTGAGGATTTTTACCTGAGTGAGCCATAGAGAAGTTAATACAAGTATTTTTGCATTTTAATTGTTATCAGAGTGAAGACCAGTGAAGTCAGGCTGATAAGGCAGGAGATGATTATAGCACTCTTCTTTACTGTCTTCTCTCTGTCCCATGCTAAATCAGTTTGTAAGCAGAGTGCAGAATACCACTGAAATCAGTTGATTCAAAAACTACTTCTGTTGCACTTCAAAACAGGGGGATTTGCTGAAGCACTTGGAGCAGTGTATTTCATTGCATCCTTTTAAGAGATTAACGTTTCATTTTACTTCTCTTTACCAATTAGCCAGAGTTAATTTGTTTTAATAAACTGTGTAACTGTACACTGCTATGCACACCATTTTTTAGAAAAGAATCTTTGAAGCTTGGCTTATTTGTACACCTGCTCAGCAAAATTTAGCAGCATGACTCAAGTCTAGAGCTCTTGGTTTCTGAGGCAAGCTTGAAATCAAATGCTGGAGCTTCAGCTGACAAAGACAGACTTTTAAAATACCCCTCTCTTCCATCTACCACTTTAACACTCTGATTTTCTCATAACTCTTTTGAGACGATCGATCATCACTAAGCAGCTTTTGAGGCTGCTTTACTGTCTTGTGTTTTTCTGGAAGATTACAAATGGAATGTATTTTGTGAGGTTTCTGTGCTAGACACCTGCACCGTGGCTGCTCTAGTTCGTTATGTGAGATCAAGGTATGATTATACAGATTTTTTTTTTAAACTGTTTTTTTTGGCAGCACTGCCAGTGATCTTGATTGTAGCTGGTTCCTGTCCCCTTTCTGCTTTTTCAGTCCCATTGTTAGTGCAGTCATGCAATTTACTGGGGTAATATAGTTTTGGGAGAGGGTCAGCAGCAGGAAGTGAGGACTGCCTAAGCAGCACTGCTGCAATAAGTATTGTCATAGCCTAAAATGCATAACAATTTCCTAAAGTTCAACAAATTTCTGCTGTTCAGCTGTGGTGAATATTTGTGTATGTCATGGGAGTGAGTAGTTTGGTAAAATTTGACCTGAAGAGAAGGGGAAAAAAAAGCTCTTATGTGTTTAACTGTAAAATCATAACTCTGTTAATAACCAGGAAAAGTCTATGTGGTGACTAATTTCAGGCAGCCTGTTACCTGCTCTAGCTCATACCTGCTGGATTTTGGCAGAGAAGTGTAATACGTGGTTTGGAAGTGGAGGTAGCAGCACGAGTGCTGTAAGCTTAGGTGTTCAGACTGTTAATACCTGTTTGCAAAAAATTACAAGATTGGCATAGTGTTTTATTTTTACACCATATTTTTGAGCTCTTGCCTTTCTGTAAAAATTCTTGTGATATGTACTTGTGTGTCCAGCACCTAGGTTGAGAGGCTTTTCCCAGAAACAGTATAAATGTTTCCAGTTTTTCTTGTGTCTCATACCAAGAGCTTAAAAAGGATATGCTTTGTGCTATTAATTTTCTCTGAACATTGTCGGTTCATGATGAAACTTCTGTAATATCTTTTGCCTACAGCCCTACAAAGGACCCATTCATTTTTCATACGTTTATTTCTAATTTGAAGTCATACACAATTTCAGGACTAGCTCACTAACTTGATTACACAAAATATGATTTGCAATTGCTCAGTTTGCTGTTATGCTGCCCACAAAGTCTCTGACTTCTTGTCTTGGACTGGAGCGAGGGCAGGTGATGTGCCTCAGAGTCAGTAGTTTTTTATCTAGAGGAGGGCGTTGGATAAAGAACTCATGGATCTTAATGAATCTTCAGGCACTGTGGACTACTCTCAGCCTATGGAAAACTAGAAACTGTGAGGAAAAAAGTACTTAAATGGGCTAATATTCTAGTATTTTATGTCACAAGGGGATAGTAAACAGCAGGGCAGTACTTAATGCTCCATATTTAATATAACTAATGATTCAGGTGAAACAAAGACAGCTCTTAAGATTGTAATAATTTTAAAGTAGTGAAACACTGGAAAATGCAATAGGTATTCTGCCACAGTGGCAAAAAGAATGTTTAGATGCAGCTCAAGCAGATCTTACTGAAGTTACTGTGAAGACCTCATGCATAATGTATAAGGGTATGTTAATGTCAAACATTTTGGTACAGTAATTGATAAATTGCCTATCAGATTGCTAACCAAAACATTAGAAACCTTATTCTAGAGTAAGTGGGTAGGGAAGGAATAAAGTAGTTACGTTTGGATTTTAAGCTTAATGCATATATTGCCAGTAGACTACTTAAATTTTGTTAAATGAACCACTTCTGTTATTTCATTTTTCCATATTCATTAGCTATCAAAGTCTGTAATAATAGTTAGCCAGTGGAACTTGTATTTCTTTTATCCTTGCCTATTTTTAGCTACGATGAAGAGCCTTTCAGAAAACTCACAGAAGCAGGCAATTAGAAATATGGAATACAGATTTTGTTTATTACTGTTTTCACTTAAATATGCTTATTTACATTCACAGATGCTTTTGTTTTTGAGATGAAAATGAAGGCTTCCACATTTGATTCCTTTCTCCTATGGAGTTATTTTCCAACGCTAGTGCAGGCTGAGCTCAGGGGAAGGTGTTCTTACCCAAGGTGTTCTTCACTCGTTGCTGCCATTTTAATGAGTGTATGTGCTCACTGAATCATGGTCTAGAATCCATATCTTGGCAAAAAAAATGGAAATGTTTATACTGTACAACCACTTCCCCATAAATAGGGAAGTGTTTCAAGCCATCTGCTTCTCATGTTTAAGTTAGTACTGTTGCAAAAAAAAAAGCCTACCAAAACCAACAGAAAACCCCCACTCTGATGCCATTTGAATTTTAAGTGAAAAGTTAAGTCTTGAAAATCTTGCCAGAGATTCATCTGAATTAAAAGATTTTAATTTTATCTACTGTATGTCGAGTTTAATATACTCATATCTAGATTAATTTTCAAGTTTCATTTTACAGGGGTAGCAGTAACATCAACAAAAAAAATCTGTTCATATTCTTTTAGCAATATTAATAACTTTTTAGCAATATATGTTGTTCCCTTTTTGAAGGCTCATGAGTTAAAATTTTTTTTGGAGCATAAGAAAATATGATTTGGGGTTACTGAAATGCTTTTTTATATTAGGTGTGCTTCTTTGATTAATCTTTTGTTCTCTACCAGGTCTGAGTTAAGTTAGGCACAAGGTTTAAGGAACATACATGGATAAAGTCTTTGTTTATAGTTTACTTGCACTCATTACCTTGTGTATGTCATTTTATTACTTTTAATCTCCAGCCATGTTTGCATTTATCATCATATAGTCCATAGGTGATTATGGAAGATAGTTTTGAAGTGGTCTATTATAAAATACGAAGTTCTAAGTTTGATTTATAAACACTCTCCAAGCATTGCCATCAACAGTAGCTAATCTTATTCAAAATAGTCACTTCACTGCAGTGTTGCCATAAATTCCTGTAGACGGATTTTAAACTAAAGTTAGCTTCTGCCAAATAGTAATTGAAGGAGCTCTATTTCTCTGTGCCAGCTATCTGTCTCAATAAACATAAAATCTGTAGTTCTTTTCAGAGAGCTACATTTACTGTAGATATTAATGAGCTGTTGACATGTGAAATTTCAAGGATATTTGTTAAGTGATTTAGAAAAGTAATTTGCAATTTAAAACGTGGAGATTGGCACTTAGTTTAAATTTGAGGTTGCTGAAGAAAGGTAGATCAAGACTAAAAGTTGATTACTTGAAGTGAATGCATTTCCCATACTAATTGTCCATATGTGTAGGACTTTCTCTTGGTGGCTTGCTATGTTTTCTACTTCTGGTCGTTTGCTTATTTGCTTCTTATATATCTATAAAGTTATGTACCACTTTGGTCACTGAGGATGGACCAATTAGAGATGAGGTATGTTCAGCTACATTTTGTATTTGATTTTCAGCATCTACAGTGTAGCATTTGTAAACTGTAGCTTTATTGCTTGCATCCTTCCTCGTGGACTTATTTATCTTGCCATGTAGAGTTTAATTCAAAGACAAAGGAGTGTCGAGCTGCAGGATTTGAACTACCCTTTTGTGCCCAGTTTGCTTTGTCTACTTCTCATCTCTTACTTCTTGACACCTCTTATCTTCTTGGTTTTTTTACTTCCCTTGGCTTGTAGAGTACTTGACTGTTCCTTGTGTCCAAAGTTCTGTTTTATCTGAGCTTCCAAAAGCACCCTCTCTGTACCCGCCCCCAACATACCTGCTTTTGTAGTTTGTTCCACTTCTTGGTAGACAATCTGTCTCACTTTTTTCAGAACTTGTAAAATATAATGTAATACAACCCGTGTCGTCATATAACCTTCTTTTTGATCTTTAACTTCTGTGGAGTAGCTGTGCAAGTGCAGTAACCAGAGAGGGAAAAGGCTGCTTCTCAAAGCAGCTCAATTTCTCAAAAGAAAAACAGAGGAATTATTTAACTTTCAGTAAGGAAACCTAGGCAAAATTCTTAATTCTGGTATCTTTGGACCTTTTCTGAAAAAGTTGGTTTTGGTTTTATTTTGGGTATCATCTCATAGCAAAGGTATTAGAGAGTAAAACATGGTCTCAAATGGTCCATGATAATTACCTTTGGTCATGCTCATATCCCAGGATAAAATGTGTAGTACAAGTGACTGCTACCATCACCCTTCTATTGAGCTGAAGGATCTCAAGAGCTGTTTGGGTTAAACCCTTCCTCTTGGAAGGCAAGGAAGTTTAGTCCACTTTTCATGCTCAGAAATAAGATTACTAGGCCAGAATGGGAGTTTTTAATAAATGTTACTGTCTGTTTAATAGGTAGCACATGAAACTTTATGGCTTTGAAACATAAGTCATTTTGTGTTCAGGTCCTTAAAATCAATGTGGCAGTAACTTCCTTTGCAACAGACAGCTACTCTGATGGTTCGAGACTTCCTTCTGAGAGATCAGATGCAGGACAGACACACGCAGGCAGCTCTCTTGGGAGCAGTCGTGAGGCATCAGCAGCTTTTCTTCGGACATCACCGTCTTTGACTGTTGTGATGTGGCACTGAGAAGGGCAATCTTCTTAACAGGCACAGTCCATGAAATACTTTTTCTGTTCTTATGTTTTGCTTGTGTATCTTGTGCTTTCAAAAGTGCAATCTGCCTTCAAAAGGACATATTGGATATTCTCTTGGTTTGGATTCAAAGAATGTTAATTAGTTGGAAACAATTTGCAGTTTCAGTGTTCTGGACTGGGATTTGCTGATTCTTTCAAAGTATTTGAAGAAAAAAATGCTGTTAGTAACTGAGGAAAAAATCACAAACTAATGAGGAGAAGAGAGGATGAAGCTTTTTGCAGTGGTAAAACTATACGTGTGCTACATTTCCAAAACTTGGCAAAAATGGCTTCAGCAGCTCTGGTGTTAGCACGGAACTGCAGATTTGAGATTTGGAGAATGGGAACTAAAAGCAGCAGTGTTTTAATTCGTATGAAAATGCAGGTAATGCAGGAGAAGTTTCTGAGCAAATATAATCTAGGAAATAATGCATGGTACAAAAAGAAAACATCTGTACTCTGTCTAGCTTGGTAGATTTAATTTCTAACTCTGCTGTTACACCTTGAAAACGTTTCATGTTCTTACTTAGAGGGTAATTGGGTTATAACCCTAAAAAAGGGAGAGAATATCCATCTTTGCGGTTTGCTAATATAGCAAGAGAAGAGAGGAACTTAGTCCTTGAGGTTTTGGGACAATATTTGAGCTTTAATTAAGCTTTGATCTTGACCATTACTTTGTGGAATTCCTCAGTTCATCTTCAGGGCAATTATAACAAAAATATTTGGTTACAAAGGTCTCCTAATTGTAAAACCATTAGTCAGCTCTTTACAGAATTCCTCTTCCAGATTTTTACTAAAAACTTTGTTCATTTTATCAGTATCATGTCTAGTCTGCCTTCTTTCTGTAGTGTTTTCAGATGAGAAAATGAAGCAATCCTGATTCATCATGTGATACAGGATAAACTAATTAAAATTCTGTAGGGAATAAAAGTCTGGAAGTTGATGCTTCAAGAGAAGATTAATATTTGAGGTGGTATAGCATAACTTGGGGAAGATGCTCAAATGCCAGAGGAAAGGAAGGAAGGAAGGAAGGAAGAAAGGAAGGAGGGACAGCTGCAATTCATCTGCTGTTTGTCTCCTCAGTACTGCTTGAGGTTCAGAACAGCGTTATGGAGTGCTTTGTGTGAAGAGATTGGTTCAGTGGTGGTTAAACAGAAGAGCAGGTTCAAATCCACCTGATGAAGAGAGGAACATTTACATCAAAGATGTAATAAATGTTACAAATGAACTTTTGTAACTTTCTGTGAAAATAACATTATTTTCTCTTTTTTGAAAGTTTTATTTTTAAATATTCTGAATATGCATGATTTTATGTTGGTGTGGATTCGAGAAACCCAGTCCTAATTTTAGGCAGGTGTTTTCTGCTATTTCTGTGATCAATGGCCATGCTTGCTCTGACAGGCAGATTGTACTCCATATTCAAGGAAACTTGCAACTAAAGCAGCAGATTCCCTTAAAAATAAATCTTCATGGCTGTGTTTTCTGGAAATCCCAGAAGTGGCAGATAATATATGGATATTGAACTTTTTATTCAGTGGAAACTTAAGAAGAGCAAGAAATCAAACTGCACCATTGACAGCTAAAACAAAGCTGGAGTTTACCTTTGCATGTCATTATCAGTTGCTGTTTTACAGATTGAAATCTGACAGAATCAGGCATTTAATATATGTAATCCTTGTTGCTTTCTATTCTATATGATACCAAATAGCAGGACTTTTTAAGCCTCACCCATGTCATTCAGATAATAAGGTAAATATGAAGTGTTCAAGGCCAGGTTGGATGAGGCTTTGAGCAACCTGGTCTAGTGGAAGGTGTCTCTGCTGCTGGCAGGGGGGTTGGGACTGGATGAGCTTGAAGGTCCCTTCCAACCCAAACCAGTCTGGGATTCTGTGATTCTATGAACTCCTTTTTTCAGATGATTGGAGTTTCTGGTTGGTAACAGATGTGCAGATGGAGCTCTTCTGCTTAGAGTCACCAAATTGCAGGGTAGACTACGTGCGTTCTCTTAAAGTACAGACTGAGTCCTCCCAGTTGGTGGCTTAAACACCGTGTTCTGTTGTTGAAGCCACCTTTATTCAGTGAATGCTGGATTTTGTTGTCTTTGCAAAAGATGTCCTATTTCTGTTCTTCACTTGCCTTGCAGTAGCTGAAAGACTTTTTTAGGTCAGTTTCTAGTCAGGAGCAATTAGGAGTTGGTTAGCAGACATCTGTCCTTCATATGCTAAGTAAGCAACATGGTAGAGAGAGCATCACCCTCTGGTGCTGTGAAGGGGCTGACAGTCTTAAATGAAGTCTTTGTCAGTACAGATAAGCGTTGTCAGAAACATCCCATCTTAAACAGTAGAATCAAACCTGAATTTAATTTTTCACTTTTATCACACTTATCTGTACAATTTAAAAGTGGAGGAGGTTATTTATCAGAACCTTTTTAAGTTCATGTGTTTTAGCAGTCTTCACATTATTTTGTAAAATGCAAACCCACCTTCCTCACTAAATGTTGGGGGTTTTTGTGGGTTTTTTTGTGTATGCAATAACATTAGCTATCCATTCAGGAGGGTATTTCACGCTTCTGAAGTGCCAGCATACAGTGTCAGAAAACAGAGTTAAATCCTGAAATGACTTCTTTATTTTGTAAGAACTAGTGATTTTTTTCTAAATGTAGTTGAACTATTATTTTTCCTGTCAGAGTTGTTAAATGTTTAAGATGTGGTATGAATGATAACAAAAGCTAATTAATCCAACTGATGGTTAGAGAAATATTGATAGGAAAAAAATTAAAAGGGAGAACAGAGACTTTCCGTGATTAACAGCAGAACTATCAATTCTCTGATTTAAAAGAAGTAAACTACTATTTTCAAGACAGAAGATGGTAAATATAAACTGGAGAGTACTCAGGGAGCTATGATCATTTTGTACAAATCAGTTCCTTTGGCTCCACCTACAGTATATGCTGTTTAATAAGAATTTTGCCAGAGCATTTTAGCAGTCTGTAATAAGCATAATGTTTCCCAAAAGCAGTAGATAAACAATAGAGTGAATCTTCCTTTATTTGACATAGTGGATGAGAGAGATGGGGTTTCTACTCCCTGGACCCAATTTGAGTTTATTTACCCCTCCTTTGCACAGCCACCTTGTAAAGCACTGTGAGTTCAGAGCTGGCATGCAGTGCAATTATGGTAACTTGCAAATCAGCTTCAATCAGCAGCAGTACAGCTGTGCTCAGGTGACAAAGCTATCAGGTCCTGCCAGAACCTGAAACTGGGGGGTGTGGTATGGATGCAAAAAAACTGAACTGCCTTTTCTGAGAACTCAGTCGAAATGGGCAGATTTATTGGCTTGGCTCCACACTAAGTGGAGGTGTCTGTAGTGATGGACATCTTTGAGTTAGATGTGTAGAGTCCATCTGGGCCAAGGAGCACTATTATCTATATTTTCTGTCTACTCATAGCATCCCATGTGCTTTTCTCAGCATTCATTTTATCCTCCAAATGATTTGATTTTCGACTACAGCCTCTTTGGTCAGAGATGCATCAAAATGACTGAAAATAGAAATTTTGCATCTCTTTAGGAGCTGTGAAATATTATACCAATTTTTATATTCTGTACCTGTGAAATCTATCATGGCAAATCTTTTGAATATCTCAAACTTATTTGTTTTTAATTTAAACCTGAAAAGGCTATGTTTTATCTGTCCATCAAGTTTCACTGTTGTTTTTAATTTGCAGGAGAAACTACTATGGTGGAAACTGGGCCAGCTTTAGTTTTTCAGGATTATTGTCCTGGATTAAAGAGAATCAGGTAAAAATTTCCCAAATTACTTCTTCTAACATTCTTTAACATTAAATCTTGGTTGTTTGCATAACTTATTAGAAGACAAATTATCACAGTGCTCTTTCTCTTTGTTAATTTGACAGATCAAAGAGGTTTCTACTTTCTGACTTAACTGTTTAAGACTTACCCATCTGAACTAACATTCCAAGGTTCTGATATGGCTGGTTTATTAATATTATCTGAGACCAAAGAGTCTAGTGCTCAGTCATTCTTTTTGGGTTCTTGAATTTATGTAGAAGCAACTACACTTTTGTTTCAATTCCTTTCCCAAGACCTTCTGTAAATGATAATCTGGTCTTTTCCGTTTTTGGTTTGACTGTTTTCCACTCTCCGATGTTTCTGTCCCTTTTGTTTTTCTTGAGCACTTGGAGCTGATTCTTCTTAACTGTAGGCAAGGCAGTTACAGGATCCTTCCACTGAAATGTTCTGTAACCAGGACAAAAAGATTAATGTGGATAATGTATTTTTCAATGACCAAAGTTTATCTAATTCATGACAGTCCACTAGAAATCTTCTGAAGAGGATATCCATTTAGGAGATGGAGCACTTGGGCTGTATTAGCAAATGGATGCTTGTGTTATTTACTGAAGCATTATGAGCCTGTTGGTCCATAGAAGATGGAACTTTTTAAGTTCAGTCTGATGCCTATTTATTACCCAGTGCTACCTTCTGGTGTAATCAGTGGAGTTGCTCAATGTCAGAACTTAATATTCTCAGGGTTCTGTTCTATGATTTAGAGATTCCTGTGTGGACAGATGAATATAATACCCAAATCAATGTATTTTTTTCATATGTTCAAAGAGTTCTGTCACAAAATTTGGACCTAACCTAACAGTGGCAAACCTGCCTTTTAGTAGATTGTGTTCAAAGTTATATTCAGCTCTCTACTAAAATTTGTATTTGATTTAACACTGTATTTTCAGATTACTAGAGCTGGTAATGAAGTGCAAATATTGGCATGCTGTAGTAAAGTAACCAACTCTAACTATTGTAACTCAACACATATGAATAGAAAAAAATTAAAACAAGGTGATTTTTTTTTAATGTAAAATGGTACAACAAATGATTTGGGACTACAGAGATTTATAGTTCAAGAGTACAGTACAAAATGTAATTTTATAATTTTTCTTTGAAAGCAAAAGACTGATATCAGTGATGAATGTGAAGACTGGAGAAAATTGATCCTTGAGAATGAAGAAGTTATTTCTCTTAGCAAGAAGGATAGAACTATTCAACATGTAGAAGATTTCTGTTTTGGCGAGTAAGTATAAATATAGAAATACACAGATAATTTTATATGCCCAGAGGTAAATAATCATATTGTGCTTTTGGCCTGAAGCATTTCGCCACACTACCACCTTGCATGTTATCTGAAAAAGTAACCACAAGCTGCAAAATGTTCTTAATGTCCTTGTGCACTTCTGTTCTCATTGTAAAAAGCTACAATCATAAGTACATGTGAAATGAAAGAAGTACACAAGAATAGGAACGCAAATGGACATTAATACTGTAACTGTAAAATACTGAAGTGTGCTAAAGTGTTAAAGTAATAGCTGCCCTTTGTCATTTTTATAGTCAGCGGATTTAACTTATTAAATGCTGCTTACTCATGATGCTTTAGAAGGAATTGTGTGGTCAGAGACTCCTGGTAATACAATAACAGCCTTTTTGGGCTGTCACCTTTCTGTTTTTGAAGTAAAACAACTCAGGTCTTACTTTACATACAACATGCTTAGTTTGAATTACACATTGACTTTTGTGAATATTTGTTGCAGAAGCACATGAGGAATAGTATGCCATCCTCGGACTGAGTATGTGGTAAATATCTTGTAGTTAGGTTTTTGTAGGGGTATATCTGCATTAGCAGAAGTTAAGAATATAAATTCCACTTTTTTGTTTAGGTTTTTCAATGGAAGTATGATACTTTGTTATATATAATCCATGCAGAAGGTAAGCTTTTCACAGTGTCGTATTATTGAAAATCAAGAAACATCTGAAAATAACCTTGTGAAGCGCTAATGTTGAATTGTGTGTAAGCACAGTAATAATGAATGGCAAATGTGTGGGCCTCACTTGAAAACTGAACTATTTCTTTGTATTTGTTTATCATTTTTATCTTTTGGATTTTGCACTGAACTGAACACTGTTCTGAATCACTGGAAGGTTCTTTGGGATAGTTCTGTAACTTTAACCTGGAATACCTTAGATAATATCATAGGTAGCTGAATGAAACATTGACAGAGATTCATCTAGAAACATATATTTCTTTCTGTAGGCATCATAAGTAGGAAAATAAAAAAGGTGTAAATTATACTAATGCAGACTCAGAATATTCCACAGTTCTATATTGCACAGTAGTGGCTGCTTGACTGTATTGCAGATCAAATGTTACACTTGTTTTAATGCAATATCAGTTGGATATTGTTGCCATAATAAATATTGTTCGGAACCAGTATTCAATCAGATTAAAGGTTTCATAGTCTCTTAACTTTGTGTGTGATTTTCCTAAGAAGATGTGATATTGACTGATGGCTGGCCTAAAAATTTGAGTCCCCTAACACAAAGATTTCACGCTTTGCAGAAGTGAGCATTATACTGGAGTCAGGACTAAACAGAAGATTCTACTTTTAAGCATTTAACTTAGCCTGGCAGTACAATGCTCTCTCTTTTGATTATCACCAAAACCACTCAAAAACTCACAAGAAAGAATGGTAAGATTAATAAACCTAGCAAAGAAAAAGTTTTTGAAAATAACTTAAAACTTTCTGAGGGAGTCAATTACTGTATTTCTGACAATTTACACATTCTGGCTAGATTCTGTTGTTTTTGCTTAACTTTTATAACTCCTGTGAAGTAACCATTAAACATTTATTTTGAAAGAATAAACAGCTGGGTAGCAGTATAATATACACAGTGCAAATCTGAAATGAATGGCCTTAGAACAAAGTGCATCCATCAAAGAAAAAGAATACTGTGTCTACAACAAGCTGTATTGAAAAAAGGCAAATGGCTGAAAAATAAATAGTGAACACCTGTGCTGAATAAATTAACCAGCTGGTTGGCAATTTTTCATTTGACCTATCTGAAGGGGTTGCTGTTACAAGGCATTAATAAGACACATTCATTTTAAGATATTCCTTTGTTAGTACCATTAATTGATGAATGGTGGAAGATAATATTCTAAATTTACACAACAATTTGTCTGCAGATGTATTATTTTTTTTCTGAATTAGGAGAAGAATTGTCTGTACAAAAGTTCAATTTCAGTGATTTTTATAGACAGTTCTTAACATTATTCAGGGATGTTTGTTCCTATAGGAAAGATGGCGTGAATTTAGATTACACACATTTTTTAGGCTTTCATTAGACAATATGTAGAGCTGCAAATCATGCAGATTTACTTATGCATTAATGGGAATTGAACAGAGATTTAAAATACATAATATTTCTGTTACACTAGTTTTTCAGAGTGATACAGAAAAAAGACAATGTATTGTGAATCTAAATTTTATTATGATTTAAAAAGTGGTAATCAAGTATGTTTAAAATGAGATTGAGCAGTACATCGAGCTTGGGAGAAGGTAGAAAGAAAAATTTCCTCTAAATTTTTGTTTTATAAAAAAACCCCTTTAGGATGGTTTAAATAAAAGCTTTGTTCTTAGTTATTGCATTAATGGCAACAGCTTTGGCAGTTTTCACAAACATAATTTTCTAAATTCCTAAAAAAACCCCAAAAATCTAAACAGAACCTCCAAATTTAATTTACTTTCATTTGGTTTTTTAATAGAGATTAGTTTAAAAAAAACCCAAAACATTTGTCAAAGTACTTATCTTTCTTGGCTATTTTATAGTTATTTAATTCTTGCAATGTGAAGCAAAAAGCCATAATTAATGTACAGAAACAGACTTCTTTCATTAGTGCTTCCTTATAGCAGTTCCTGTATTTCCCAGGGCAGTATTTTACCCTGTTCATGAATAAGTGCTTCCTTGCTGCTGTGCACAAGCTGAGAGACTCCAAATTCTTCATGAGCCCCTGTGAGCTTCCTGAGTTCATAAGTGAGGAGCAACTTCTAAGGATACAGGGCTTTTCTTCCCTCTTTTTAGCAGAAATCCTGCCCCCTGCCTCCGTCTGTGAGGCTGCAGATGTGTGAGGAAGCATTTTTATATGTATACTGAGTAATTCCTTAATGTTCAGTGAATTTTAACCATCCTGAAATTTCGTATTGTACGTTTGCAGGTCACCTTTAAAATCAGAGTTCATTAGTTTTCAGCCAAGATTAAATTGTTTATTCAGTGCATTAATGGCTTGTGGTGTAAAGATAAAAAGATAGTGTGAAATTATTGCTGAACTCCTTTCACTTACAATGACACTGATTTGATTCATCTCAGCTGGTAGTATAAACTAAAATTCTAAGTTCAAAAGTGCTGGTTTCTGAGGTAAATGTCATTGAAGTTCAAGATAAAAAGAGCAGATCAGATTAAAAGTTGGAGGTCTGTTTTATAAGAGGAATTTTAAAGAATTGTGTGGTGAAAAGGAAATGGACTATACAGAGTAATGTTGTGTGGTAATGTCTCTCCTTTTGAGTGGCTGCCTTCATCTTCCACACACAAACTCGTATCACTTGCAAAAAAATAACATTGCTACATGAGGGAGCAGCTTTGTTCTTTATGGCTGTTACTTGAACAACTAATTAGAATGTGAGGTCAGAGTTGGAAAAGTGATCTGAAAGTTTTACTTAAACTTCAGGTCAAAACTGCATGCTTCTCTGATTGACTTGCTATAATAATAGATGCAAAGTAGTCTCAGTCATATAAAGCACTTCTGTTTACTTCAGTGAGTTTGATTTTTTTAAATATATGAGCTTAAGGACTTTCATGCATTTTTGCATTTCAATTTCAAAGGGGTTTTTTAATCCATAGAAAAACCTAATCAAATTGCTTTACTGTTTCTTTTTTAAAAGACTGTGTTTCTTTTGCTTACACAGCTGTGTATTGTGTATCACCACGAGAGTTTTGACTTTTATTTTAAACTCACTCCATCTTTTGAGTCCATGTAAAATAAGAACCCATATTTTTACTGGTGTTTTTTGGGTTTTTTTCCTCTCCCTGGTAAAAATACTACTCATGAATTATAGTTTTGCATTCAAAGAACCAGAATTCTTCAGTGAGCGATACACCTGATTTGTCCAGGGTCAAAAAATTCTAATACTTTCCATAGAAATGCTTGAGGTTTCCATTCTGGCACTGACTCAAAACTTTAAACAAGTTTTTAAGACTCTTTGAAAGACTTCTTTCCCCTCCTTCTTCCTTTTGTGTTTTTAATCAGTCAGGATTCAGCTGAAGATGTTGAAGAAGCTGGTGCATTGCCAAAGCTGCCCATCTTCAGAGCCTCTGGTGCTGAGGGGGTTGCTCAGGAATCAGAAAAAGAGTCCCTGCCAATGGAGAGCGCCTTACCGGAGATGGAGAGCCAGGAACCAGGCAAGGCTACAGACACTGAGACAGCAAGTGCAGAGGAAGGGAATGAGACTGAAATAACCTCTCAGAATGAAAGTTCGGATCATACAGCTTCAGAGTCCGCTCTGGAATTGGGAAAAACTGAAGGTGCACCTTCAGAAATGTCTCCCCAAGAACCAAAGAAAATTACGTATTCCCAAGTTGTTAGAGAAGGCAGAAGGTTTAATATTGATTTAGTTTCCAAGGTAGGAACTGAATGACACTTTTCATAAAAGTACTTTTACTTTTCTTAAAATACTGGAATTTAAAAAACATCTTTACTGTTGTGGAGGGCTGACACGGTACCTTTGAGGCAAAAAAGACACTTTTGAGAAGTAAGCAACAAGAGCTTAAACCAAACAAGCTATTTCATATGTGCTCTTCAGTGTTTGTTTATTACCAAAGAGACCATAAAGTATAGCTCAGAAATATGTCCATAAAAGTAAATTTCAGTAATACCTGCAAAATTGCTCTTTTTAAATAGTACCATTTAAAAAATTTTAAAAAACCTACCCAAAACCAATCAATCTACATGCACATCTTTGATGTTTTTAAAATGGAAAACATGTTTCCCGTTGGAGTGCTTCCTGGGTTTTAGATTTGCCTGTGAAACTCTCACTGTCTCTCTATAACCAGTTTTGGTTCTCTGGTAACTAAAGCACTGAATTGCAATAAATTTTATTGGAAAGAAACAATAATTGCAGTTAATCCATAACATACAAGCTGACTGAAATCTGTTATTGTTGTGTTGAATTCCTACTGGTGTGCGTTTTGCTGAGAGGAAGAAGTATTAGTCTGACATATTTGTCATGCTGTTTAAACTCTAAAATCTGCCTTTTTCATATTTCACAGTACATGGATGTGGCCCTGCAAATTCAAGTTAAATGGAAATTTTCTTAAGTTCTGTGCTGTAGACTATATGTGTACTCTGCAATGGGAAGTTTTTTCAAAGTTGAAAGCTTCATTTTTCATGTTTTTCAAACCTCTGGAAATGGGAAGAAACTTATTAAATTGTCTGTGGAGACACTACAAAATGCATTATTTCAAATTTTGCCTCTGTTCCAAATGTAGATACCTCTTTCATGCATCATTGGAATGGCACAATGAAAACAATAGTGGTTAGGCAGATACTACAACTTTATATCCTTTTTATACTTTTTCTGTGCCACTGTGTTACATGGTGTTGAATGCAGTGAATTCCAGAAATTCTGACAGAAGAGTACTCGTCAAGGCAAGACGAGTAGTTTGCGTTGGTTTCTCTCTGGCAGAGGGACACAGACATTCTCATAGTGTCCTCATAAGTGTTCCAGTAAACCTTAATCTTGAAAATTCCTGTGTGATCATGCAAATTCTGTTAGTCAGGGCCACCAGGCTTGAAGCATGTTTAAACTAATCTCCAGTGCTTTTTCAATTCAGACATAGGTCTTCTGTTAATAGTTACATTTCTGTCCCTTCAGTATTTCATAATATATTTGTAGCTTATAGAAGGAGTAAAGGTAGGCAGATTATAAATTAATACTAATATCCCTTAACTGGAGATTGAAGGAATTTCCTTTTAGAAAATGGCACATTATGGTTTCAGGTAATTTAAGAAACAACTAGTGATGATTTACACAGACAGCATCATGTACTTTACTGATATTAGGAAATGAAGGTTGTAAAATACAGTGTTCAAGGATATATAGCACACAATGCAAAGAAATTATCCCAGATGACAATACACAAAATTGTCCCAAGCTATGACTCCCAGACTAATAAAACTGCATGAGCAGCGGGCTGATAGCTTCTCCCTTCCTCTCCTGTGGTTTGCTTTCTCTCCTCCATTTGTATGGTCGCTTCAGTTCATTTAATATTATTGTGCACAAACTACATCTTGATATTCGTTTATTCAGGTTTTATTTCACTGTGTAAATAGTTACAGAAGACACCTTACAGATGAATACTGTTGGTATCACTGTTTTCTTTTGGTGCAAGGACTTTCTCTTTACTCACCATTTTCTTTTTTCCTTCACTGTGCAGTTGCTTTACTCCCGAGGTCTGTTAATTGACCTTCTGATTAAGTCGAATGTTAGCAGATATGCAGAGTTTAAAAATGCAACACGAATTCTTGCCTTTCGAGAAGGAAAAGTAGAACAGGTATTGTAAAACAATGTATTGTGTATGTTTAATACCATCTTTTAGAAGTCAAGCAACTTAAAGTTGGTTTCTTGAGAGTTTTGTTAACAATAAGCTAGTATTTTTCCTTAAGATTTTTATTTTTATTTTATTTCTGGAATGAAAATGCATTTGTAAGTGTTTTGTTTTGTTTTTTTAAAAAAGCTAAAATAAGAATGTGCAGTCCAGTTAATTATTGACATAAATCTTTACCTCATGTCAAATATTTAGACCATTAACAACTTGGCAGTTAATTCTTAAAGATTCACAGGTTTTAGGTTTTCAGTTTCCTAATACACACTGGTTTTGTCTCTGCTATTTACAAGAGAAGTCATTGGTGTGAGAATGGCAACAGGAGATTTTGACACAGTTAATTAATACAAACTCTTTTGAGATTAACTCTGCAGTCATAGATGCAAGTGAAATTTAAGGGAAATAAAGAGAGGAAGAAGCTGAAAAAGATTTAAAACATATTTTTATTGTGCAAAATTGGTAACTTTTATTATAGTTACAATAGAAAATAATTGGAAAATGAGTATAATAGAAAATAGTAGTTTGAAATATTTGTTAAGTAGTCAGACTGTAGTGTTGCTTGATGCTTTTCAAATCCAGAGTATGGAAAGTATCTGAAATTATTAAAAAATATTTTCCAGGTACCATGTTCTAGAGCAGATGTCTTCAACAGCAGACAGCTCACTATGGTGGAGAAGAGAATGCTAATGAAATTTTTGACATTTTGTTTGGACTATGAACAACACCCTGATGAATACCAAGGTAGTGTTTCATTGAGCAGTGTACGCTCTCTTCTTACGAGTTCATTCAGTGATGCACAATTTCAATAGCCCTCCTGTGTTTTCACACAGTTTGTTTTTATGGATTAATTTTCAAAGTATACTTTGACCTTTTTGTGACCTTTTCACTTCAATGTTAAATTCTTCTACTTAAGCACTTGCTCTTCTAGTTCCCACATCATTTATTATTTACATTTTTTAACAGCAAAATTATGTATTACAGCAAGGCTGCACAATGTTTTTTATAATTTTTTTAGGTGTTTCTACCCCCCTCCAAGGGATTTTTTTAATATGGTGTGATGTACCTGATTTTTCCTTTCTGGTTGTTTGGGTAATGTGTAAATCTTCACAATACGTTGCTACAAAATCAGAAATTGAGAAAATAGGATTTTTTTAACTCTGAAAGGACATGTAATTTAATGCCTTATAGTTGCAGAGGGCAAGTTCAAAGTGCCTTTATCAACTGTTAGCTTATTTAGTCGAGAGAAAATCAGAATAGATGTGAGCCATGATGTGCAAAGAATAATGAGCATCAGGTCAAAGAGGAAAATTGGCTGACAGTAGGAAGGTAATGGAAACCCACTCTGCTTTGGGTTTAGGCAGCTCAGGGTACAAAGCTTGAAGTGGTGGTCTCAGTTCTTGGAGTGTAAATGTAAACTAATGCAAAAAAAGAAAAAATTGTGTCAAAAAGAAATAATGAGGAAAGAGGAATAGTTAAAGTATTGACATAAGTTTCAGCCTGAAGCATATCAGTGCTTTTGTAGCTTGACAGTAGCTTGACTAGACTGTATTTTTGGAAGAATCTAGTGTTAAAAATAAGCAGTTGTTAAGATACTGGTTTGATTACTTGAACCAGACCATTAGATTAGGAACAAACATTAGAGAAGATTATTTTAAGCATATGCAAAAGAGAATTGGTGAATATTGAGAAGGATCTGGTGAGATAGAGTCTAATGAACTCTAGAAAATCTTGAAGGGGCTACAACTCGTTAGACTGAAGTGGTTTATAGGTTACAGGTAGTTGCAGGTTTGCTGCTGCTGGAAGAAATGGCGGTGCTCAGAGTGAGAATATGGGTGATATTTGGAACATTTACTGAGTAAAACAAACAAACAAAAAAAAAAAGATGCCACATCAATTTTAAATGAATCCATTAATTCGTGTACCTAAATGACATTAGATTTATTTTACTTTCAGAGATAGTTAAACACATTTTGTTCCTACATTTTAAAATAGCCTGAGAAGTAATTGGGATTATTTTGAGTCAGATTAGTCTAATGTAAAGATTTCAGATAAAATTCCTCTTGACGAGATCATTACATTCGTGGGAAGACAGACTTTTAATAGAGAGAGTTCATGGTAGTGAGGAATATTTTAGAGCTTTTCTGTAAAATTCGGAGTTATGTAAGAAGTCTGAAGTGAGGAAAAACTTGAGAATTTTTTTAGAATGATAAAACAAAAAACCCTGACTTTTTGTGACTTGCTGCATGGCTGTACAAAGGGCAGTAAGATACTTTTGTAATAAAACAGTTGAGTCTTGAACAGAATATATAAGTTGATAATACTAGTCTCAGCATTGATGGAAGTGTTTCTAAATGACCTATGAATTTATCCATGAATGAAATAAGCTTAAGAGCAGATTTCTGAATAGTACTGCTTAAATACAATCTTCTCCTGGAAAAAAAAAAATTCCCTTAGTTACTAAGTTGACTAAAGTTTTTCAGAGGTGTATCAGTGACATGCAACACTCAGGTTACACATCTCCAGAAAGACGTCTGTCTTTGAATTTAAAAAAGTGTCAGCAATAGTTTAACTTAAAGGGGAGATGTTTCCTCATCCCTGTCTTACCTGTGTCTCATCCATCCTTGTTTGTTGTGAGCAACTCATCAGTTTGAAATCAGTATTGTGCCTTCTCATCTTTGGATTAAGACACTATGTGACTGACTTCCCTGGGCATAAATATTCACTCTGACCATATCAGTGTGGATTCAGCAGAGCTGTTCTTGAATGGGTGTCATTCAGGTGTAATATTTTGGATAATTTACAGGAAACAGCATCCCAAGGTACTTCAATGGATATTTTTCCACAGTTGCTCACTTTCCCATATGATTGAGAAATGGGGTTAGATTGAGTCTAACATAATGACTCAGTGAAGCCATATTTAAAGGCTGCTTTCTAGATTGTTGGAGACCCATACGATGAGTTTTTGTGATTTTGAAATATTTTAATGGAGTGATATTTCTTTCTTCTGAGAAAACTCACTTTCTGGGAGTAAATGTTTTCACTTTCCTTGACTTAGATTATCAATTTTCAGCAAGGTGTTTGTTGAAAAACTCAATGCTTTTGTTTATTTAAATGTAAAAGTACTTGTTTAAGTTGAAGCATATGAGAAAATACAAATGTTATACCCTCTACCTAAATTTAATATTTCCTCAGACTATGAGAACAGTACGTTTGCTCAGTTCTTAAGAACACGGCAGTTAACACCCAGCTTGCAGCACTTCATTCTTCACTCCATTGCGATGGTATCAGAGACTGAGTGCAGCACTCTCGAAGGCCTCCAGGCAACAAAGAAGTTTCTTCAGTGCCTTGGCCGCTACGGCAATACACCATTTTTGTTTCCTCTGTATGGTCAAGGAGAGATCCCACAGTGCTTCTGCAGGTAAGCTTCACCTTTCTAGTATGTATTTTCCAAAAAGGAAATCCTTGGTAACCTGTTGCTTCTAGGTATAATTCAATAGCAATCATTCTGTTGACAATTTCATGATGGTTTTATTTGCTTTACATTTTTGTTGGCTGTGAAATTCCCCCTCATAAAGAAAAAAGAAAAAAAGTGTTGGAAATTATGCTACTTTGAAACAATTTTAATTGTACTACAAAGGCAACTTGTCATAGCTGGCTGTTGTTGTGGCTGCCTACTAGGAAATGAGAAAGAAATAATTTAACTTATACGTAACTATCGCTTTTTAAAAGTGACAGAGGAGACTTGGAGCCATGTCTGTCCAAAAGGATGACTGTGCATTTTGGTAGGTTGAGAAAATTTGTGGTTCAGTCTTCCTGAAGTTACAGGAAGATAAATGTTTTCAATTTTTGTTACTAGTTAATGCTGAGAGTGCATCTACCGTTCATTGGTAGATATTTAATAATGAACTGGATTTTTCTGAAAGAAGCAAAATTGTGCCATGTATCCAGTTTATTATTAATTTAAAAAAAAAATTATGTAATTCTTTCACATTTGTCACATCACAGACTTATACAAACAGGACAACTGATATGAAATCATGTCCTTACTCTCTTGGCATCATTTTGTAGAGGTGTATAGACCTCAAGCTTCCACCTGTGACTTGAACAGCAGAAAAGACACCATGAAGCCGTGTTACACTGAGCCATGTACAGCCTGCACTTTCACTTTCTAACGTCTTAAACAGCAGCCCTATGTTCTCCGCTACCTGAGCCCTAGAAAGTCATTAAAACAAAAAACCCCTGTTGATTCCAGGATAAAACAACATCCGCTTCCACCCCTTTACGTGAACTGTGGGCAATGATAACGTCGTCTTTGTCGTGTCTCCTGAGGCGTGCTGGGGATCGTAGTTCTAGCAGAGGAGTGGTTTTTGGGGACCATCAAGAATACATGTGCGGAGGGTGGGCGGTTTTCATTTTCAGTTGTTTCCAACAGTTCAACTGGCTTTTAAAAGACTGAGGGGGTTTTTTTAATCTTTTATTTTGCTGGCAAGCAGCCTTTCCATCTGCTCTATGTGGGTTTTTGATGTAGTAACCTGTAGATCTGAAGTAAACATTAGTTCTATTTTTAAAAAGCAGTATTGCATGATGAAGCCATTTTGTTGTCTGAGTGATATATTTGTATATCATTCGTTTAAATATCAGTGCAAAGTCTTACCTGCTTTGTTCTTTGTTGGTGAACACGTTCTGCTTTTCACACATATGCTACTACTAAGAAATTCTGGTTTACAGCGTGCTATTGGACATTATCTTCTTCTCTTGTCTGTGTGATAGATTCTGTTTTTCTTCTCTATAACAGTATTTAAATTACCACTAGAAAAATGGCCTTAGCATCTTGAGCCTGTTTGGCAGTATATAGGATGGGTGCAATTATATGTTGATAGAAACATTACCATAGTTCGTGGAAGGCACCTGTAAAGTGGAAGGTCTCACTTGGCCTTAGCACCTACTGAAGACCACATGGAATTGTCCTATATGATGTGTACATTAGATTAAGTAATGTTTCCGTTAGTTCATTATCCAACGAGGCATTGTTCTGTACTACACTGATAGAAATGTTATTTGGTAACATCTTTTGTCAATAGCTTTCATCTGCATCTTAAACTGTATTTGTATGGAGGTTTTAAAAAATGTGGACTTAGGTAATGAGATGCTCAGACAGACAATTTGTGAAAAAGAATTGTTTTTAGGTAAGTACTCTGGAGACAGTCATGTGATAGAACTAGTGATGGTAGATTTTATAAATGTCTTTCTGCCTTTATAGGACTTCATGTGGGACCAGCTACCTGTACGTCACCAAGAGATTAATACAAAATATTTAGTACAAGTTTTGTAGTTAGACCTTCTTTGGCCTCAAATACCTGGGAAAAAAGTAAATTTAATAATTAAAATTAGAGTTTTAGTTCTGTTTTTTCCACTCTCTGTTCTCTGTATGATTTTCTTGCCTTCTTGAAAGCCCTTTGGCTTTATCTTTTTTAATAGCCAGCACATGCAATTTTCTGACCTGTAACAGCAATATATTTCAAGAGTTAGCAGTAGTGTCTAGAAGTCTTGTTAATATTCTTATCAGAAAATCATTCTGTGATCACAGGAATTCTTCAGGTCGCCTGAACTTTCTGTTTATGTCCATTGAGTGCTGAATTTTAGGAGTTTTTTTGCTAAATTGTAACTCTTACAATAAGGACAGCGTTTTAATAGTTGAAGCAAATTACTCTGTCAAACCAAGAAGTAATTATACTTTTAAAAGGTTTGAATTACAAACATTCTAATACAAAATAAAGCCTAAATGTCTTTGTTCTCCTGAATAATTTAGGAGACAATCACAATTTGTTTTTCTAGATTATTCACAATTTTTATGTGCGGTCTGCCTCAGGTATTATGTCTTGCTAAAACTGAGCAGTATCCAAAGAATACTGCTCAGATTGTATAGGAAAGTGGTAATGCCACAACCTATACATCATACCCTGCAGCTTTTATCACCAGGTTATCAGAGGAAGGTGTCACCTGTTCTGTGATTTCTAACCACCCTTCTATATTCTGTTTTAATGTAAACCTCTTAAGCGTTTCCTGCAGCCAGTTACACTGTGTGTTCTCATCAAGGCTACTGTTATAAATGGCATGCATGCATATTTATGTGAATGAGTCAAAGACGTTTGTAAGTCACATCCTTGCATTCTAAATGAATCCTGCATAAACAGTACAACGTTTTATAACTGCTGACGACACTTGAGTGAGTAAAAGCGGTGTTAGTTCTTTATTGGTTTAAACAGGTATGGTTTAGGAGAGAAAATTAAACTTTTATATCACTGTAATGTACCTCCCGATATGTGGAGGTACAGATGTGAGATTTCTATCTTCATAAATTGGATTCGTGGTACGATGAAGGTCATTGGAAGCCTCCTGCTTTTCCGAGCTGACAAGCAGCAAAACTTTTCCTGGCCTGTGTAACAACTTTCTTTGGTTCAAACTTCTTGGTATGAAGCTGTTAGGTCTCTTCCTTTCTAATGAAGTAGTTGTATTAAGCAAGCCTTCACATTTGATGTGGTAAAGATAAGATGCCCAGGCTTCGGTATGTAAGGCAGCTAGGGAAGTCAGTGTATTTTTTGCACTTTGCTGTTAACAAAGTACAGATTACACAAATCTGTAATACAGCTTTTGTTTTCTTGAAAGAATGTCACTAAAGAAAAACCATAATTGGGCATCATTGTAAGATGCACGGTCTCAGTAATACAGCATTTACAATATTTAGTGTGATTTTGATGTTTTTTTCTGTTTTTAGAAAACATTAGGAAATACTCAAAATATTTTCTGTTGTAGGAGGTTAATGTTAAAATTGTTAGCTTCCAAAATTTCCATTGTAAACTGGGGAAAAAAAAAGATCTTTGACTTAAAAATCTGAAGTAGTTGTCAGATCTGAGGACATTAACCCCTTTATGAACTACAAGATGTGATTTAAGCTAAGGAAAAGACCAGTCATAAGAAGACAAGATTTCTCTTACAGCTTTTGCATGTACAAGATTCCTCTTTTTCAACCTGAATCTCCTTTCCGTGCTTCCAGTTTTTCAGAAGCAAAAACTTTTTGATTTTGTTACAGTTTTGGGGAGTGTTTGGAAGTTCTATTTTACAAATACTGTTTCATTTGGTTCAGTTTTTCACTTCACCTCAGTGAAATTTGCATCTTATTTTCAGTTTTCCTTTGAGAGAACATCTTTCTGGAAGCTTTCAGTTGTGATTCTCTTCACCCATAGCCAGTTGCAGGCTGTGGCCTCACTTCTGTGACTTTTCTCAGTACTTCCTTTGTGAACACACTGAATTTTGGGGGAGACTGTGCAGAGTTGCTCCTCAATCCTTTTTTCTGGTTTCTTGCAAATATGAATATCCACATGGAAACAAGACTTTTTGAAGTAGTAGTGCAGTTTGAAGTTTTAGAGGGAATTGGAGACTGTACACTGTCTGTCATCTCATAAAGGTTCTGGGGGGGTGACACAAATGTCTTTGGATGCTTTGCCATAGGAATTAGTGATTCACTGACCTTTATGTGTAGTTAGTTAATGACTTCCATTTCCTATAAATAGGCTTTGAACTTTTTACATGGTGTATGTATTTGGTGGGCAATGTAACCTTTTTTTAGTAGTTGTTACAGATTCTAGCTGAAATTAGTCATTTTTGTGCCAGTGACAGTAGTAATTTTGTGATGGAGGGAAGATCTGATTAAGATGGTTCATCTCTTTCAATCCCGGTATTTACAAGAAGATTAAGAGTCTGGGCTGAGATATGATGGATTGTGTGATTGATTTGGAAGGTGCCTGTATATATTTCAAAAATGAATGATCAGTTTTTACCCTTACATTTGAGCTATTACCTGCTACAAATGTTGAAGCTTCTGAGGGAGTCTCAGGTACTTTAACGTTTCCAATTATGTCCCTGTTGCTGTCCCTAGGAAGGTTTTAGTGTTCCGAGATCAGGACTACACTTCAGGAAACCTGACTGTAAAGCACTTAGAAATGATATATTAAATGTTTAGTGTAACATCTTTTTCATTTGAATCTGTAAATGAGTATCTTGTTTCTACATGTAAGCAATGTGCATAACTTTAATTGTATGATTTTGCATATTAATAAGAAATTCAAACAGTGTTAATTCCTTGTGACAGTCAGATATGATGGATTTGAGTCTTAGCACATGTGCAATCCTATGCAAGTGTGAAAGAATCACAAGTGATTTAAAAAACATAGGCTGTATCTGAGATACAAGTTCAGTCCTACATTTCAAATACATAATTTTAATATTTATATGTCTCTTATCTGTTAATACTATTCAATTTCATTGGACCTCGAAATTTATTTTGAAATTACTGACAACTTGTCAGTATTACTTGGGTTTTACAAAAATACTAGTATTTTAGTATTAGAATAGTAGGTG